GTTAAAAAAAAAAAAAAAAAAAAAAATGGATATATTGTATCGATTATAGGTGCAACAAGAATATTGATCGAAATGAAATTTTCTGATAAAAATTTAATTCATTTAGTTGAAAATTGCTCTCATTTATACACGAAAAACCGTCAAGACTACAAAGACAGACAAAAGGCTCAAAATTCATGGGAAAGCATTAGGAGAATTTTAAACGTGACTGGTATGTGTGTATTATTAGATCTTTATTATATTGTGATAAAAAGCATGAAATAATCGTTCAAATTTGTATCCTTGTATAGCTGTTGACTGTGAACGACGATGGGCTCAATTGCGTGATCGCTTTTCACATGAGAGACGAATGTTAAAAACGGGACTTCCATCGGGCTCTGGAGCTTCGAAAAAACTTGCTCCGAGTAACTTGTATAAAAACCTAAGCTTTTTAGAACCCTATGTTCAAATCAGAAGGTAAATTTAACTTATTTTGAAATTGGTGTTTACTTATAATTCTATCATGCATTATTCTATTATTACAGGACCCGGGGAAATATTCAAAAAAGAAGTGTATCGCCTTCTGACGACTTGAACAACTGGGAAACAGTCGAAACATTGGAAACTGATAACGCGGAAATCACCAAATATTTAAAAAGTATGGAAGAGAAAGAAAATAATGTAACAGTGGACGTATTCAATGAAATCAAAGTTGAGCAAGATGAATCAATAGACATACAGTTGGAACCATTAACTGAAAATAATGCAAATAAAACAACTATGAATTCATCGATGAATTTTCGAAGTTTGCATGAGGAAGAAAGCAACAAAGCAAATAAGTTCATGAAAAAAGTAATAAGCTCAGAAGATACTGCTTTGGTGGCAGTTTCCGAAGCTTTGTCTTCTGTAAAAGGACTGTGCGAAGCTTCGGACAAATCTGATAACGTGCCCTACAATTTCTGCATCACTACATATGGTCAGATGAAGAAATTGTCTAAAAAAAACAAAAACTTGCTCGTGCTAGAATTAGTGCTATTATGTTAGAGTTAGAATCAGACTCTGAATAAAATAGCATGTAATATTTACATCGCTGTGGTGCAATTCAAAACAGTCTGTGACATAAAAAAACAGATTTAAAAATAAGTTTTACAAAATTGTTTACTATGACATATATTCTATGCATGCTAATTTGATGTTTACGGTGTTTTTATGATTCATTTTATATTAGACGTGATGTTACATAGCCAACACTTTGTTCGTTAAATGTTTGCTTTGGATTGAACTTTCTTACATCCTACGTTCGTATAACTTCAATTATATACGTGTAAGAAAGTTCAATTCAAAGAAATGTCAGTGAGATAGTTTGCAACTTTATAAAAATGCATTTCTTGCAGAAGTTTTATATATGACGATTAGTCCATAAATATTTATGTTCATGTGCATTAATGCTTTAATTTCTCGTATTTTTTTAAGTAATTTATGTTATCATTTAGTATCTTCGTTTCTGTATGCAGTGGCGTACATGTTGTTTACATCACTGTTAGACTAGTACTTTAGGTGTTAAAAACGTATGCGTTTCAGTGATAGAAGATATACCTACCTGTTCGAGTACAAATTCATGTATACTTTAAAAAACTATGTGTTAAAGACGTCTAAATAAAAGCAATCCATAAATAAATTCGAAATGTGATAACAAAATTTTATTTTTTGTCAAATATGTAGTTTCATAATAAAGTAACTGTAAACGTACTTATTAATAAAAGTTATTATCAAGTTTGGATTGTGTTTTTCACTCGTACAACAATACATAATAATTGGACACTTATTTACATATCAGAATTGAAACATTGTCCGATATTTTTTCATTTGGCTGAATATAATACATAAAATACGCATGTAACTTTAAAAAAATGTTAAACGTTTAAAATATAAAAACTTAAAATGAGCCTCTTCTTACATGTATTTCTTGCCACGAAACTGCGCCTACTGTAGAAACAAGGTAATTTGCAAGATTGTCACGTAACTTGAGATTTTCAGTTGATGCGTTATTTGCTCCCAATCTTCCTATTCTCTGGAAAGCACCAACGTTCTTCTTACTTTCTTGTCTTCGACTTTCAGATGCTTCATCTACTTGCATATTCCTTTTATCCATACCATAGTTCACAGGACAGTACATACGGTTTTGTGAGTGAGTTGAGAGTTCCGATATTCGAAGAAAATTGTGAAGACACAATGTGGCACATATGATAAATTCTGCAGTATTGACATCTGCTATGACTGTCGATCTGAAAATTCGCCAACGATTGACGAGAATGCCAAAAGCATTTTCGATCACACGCCTTGCTCGAGAAAGACGGTAATTGAATATTTTTTGAGTTAAACTCAAGCCAGTTCCAGGATATGGCCGCATCATATATCTTTTCAAGGGAAAAGCTTCATCGCCTACGAGATAATATGGAAATCGAATATTATTACCCGGTAAGTTGCAATCATCTGGTATGCAAAGTTCGTTATTGTCGAGTGCTTATCTAAATGCCGATGCCTTAAAGATTTCTCCGTCGCTTTGAGAGCCAGAAGCTCCAACATCGACCAGTGTGAATACATAATTCGCAAACTGCTAATAGCACGACGCTAAATGTCTTTTTGTAGTTGAAAAAGTTACTTCCACGGTTATACGGGGATTGAACGGTAACGTGTTTGCCATCAACTGCACCAATACAATTTGGCAAATTCCAGGTCTCTTTGAAATCTTGAGCGTATTGTAGGAATTCTTCTGTACCGGGGTGTGGCAAATATTTTGGTGATAGTTTCTCCCAAATTACTTTACATGTTTTTTGAACAATTTTGCTTACTGTCGACTTAGACATATACAAATTCCAAGCAACATGCTTCCTCCATGAGCCAAGTAACTGTATGTAATTTAAAATAACAGAACAAATCAAAAATAGAAATAAAATTATTTGTGATTTATTAAATGTATACATACTATAGAGTAAGACATAGTCGATGTTCAGCTGACAGTGGTTCACGAATGCTACGTTTTGTTAGAGGTTCTCGTACTAGTTCCAGCAATTCTTTAAACTGAGATACAGTCATTCGTACGTATTTAAAAAACTGCTCGTGATCTTGATTTTTAATGAACTTAAATAAGGTATAAAAATGACCCTTTGTTTTTCTTTGCAAGAACAAGGGGCGAACCCAGTATCGTCGTTTCTGCATTTTTTTTCTTTTTTCTTCGTAACGATTGTAATACAATTGCAGCTTAATTAAGGATTACGAAGACTTCCTTTCTTTATTCGATCTCCATGATTTATTTTACGTAAATATTTTTACCAAGCTAATAAACTATGAAAAAAATGCAAAATACGAACTCCAACAAGTTTATTAAATATACGATACTACGTTACGTTATCTTACGAATTTTACCGCTACGGATTGCTATTGTAGACGACGGGAGGAGATTTCTTACGGTTACGAACGTTACGTTACGTATATTACGTGCCTATTGTAGATGATCCTTAATTGGAATCGAACTACACAGTAAGTTCAACTATTCAATTATGATAAATAGTTAAGAGCTAATTTTTAAATGTATAAAATATGTCTGCATATGTTTTTCTCTTGTATAATTTGTATTCATATGAAGGAAAGAAATAAAAATAACTTCAAAAAAAATTGGACATTATCTTTCTTTATAGAAGAAAGAAAATTGCAATACGTTATACAATATTTTTTATATGTATACAGTTTTTATACTATATGTATATTATAATACAGGGTCTCAGAAAAAAACCGTAAAATGTTTCGTGCGTGGGTAGAACAAACTATACTGAGTCGTAAAGTCCTGTACCATTTTGCAAGTTTCCCCAATACTTAATGAGATATTAACCCTTAAAGATAGCCGAATACGCGCGCCCGCCCGGCTTACTACTACGAAGTGTATACGCCTACTGATCGTTTGGCGCGCGGGCCGTGGGGAGCGGGGACTGCCTGGCAAGAGTTCCGCGCCGCACACATCGCCGCGAGCCTCCATAGCTCGGACAACGCGTTTGCCAGACTATCCCCGCTCCTCACGGCCTGCGCGCCAAGCGATCGGTAGGCGTATACACTTCGCAGTAGTAGGCCGGGCGGGCTCACGTATTCGACTATCTTTAAGGATTAATATCTTGTTAACTATTGGGGAAATTTGCAAAATGGTACAGGACTTTTCAGTTTAGTCCGCTCTATCTACACAAAAATGATTGGCAAAGAGTTCGGGACATCCTATACATTGTCGCTTCGAAAATGGAAGATATTGTTGGATGCTGGACCGTAAAAATCGCAAAGCAGGACAGAGAAGGAAAAGCTACAGACACAACTACTTTCGC